TAGGATGTAGATGATGAAATTTTGATGTTTGGAATTTCTGTCGACATATTTTTGGAGTTTCGTATTGAGTAATGGAGTCAATGGATTGATGGGAAAAAAGAACTGTTATAAATGAACTGTTTGTTGGTTCAGGAGCGTTTTAAATAGATTTTGAAGTTAAGGTACCTTTACACTAGGATTTTGAAATTGAGGTGCCTTCACATTGAGATTTTGGAGTTGAAGTGCCTGCAATCTAGGATTTTAAAGTCAAGGCGCCTTCAAACTAGTAGTAATTTAGTAATTTAAGAATCAGGTGCCTTCGCACAGGGGCGTAGCCAGGGGGGGCCATAGGGGGCCCGGGCCCTCCTTACGAAAATCTGATAATTGTTTTATTAAGTATTAATAGAGAAGAACCAGTTAATGTAGAGGAAATGATGAAAGAAATGTCAAAATCAGCACGAAAAATTAAATTTGATGTATGAATAATGAATTAAATATTTAAACTTATGAAGAATGAATATAGATTTAAGGATACAAAATAACGGTTTTTTTATTTTCGAAAATGGGCCCCCTTAAAAATTTTCTGGCTACGCCCCTGCCTTCGCATATAGGTTTTGAGGATCAGGTGCCTTCACATTAAGGTTTTGAGGTTCGGTAGCCTTTACACCAGAGTTGTTACTTTTATGTGCCTATAAGGTATAATTGAAAAATTCAGGTGACTTCATACTATAGTTTTCAGGTTCAGGTGTATTTACACTCCTGTTATGAAGTTCAGCTATCTTCACACTAGCATTGTGAAGTTCAGATGCTTTCACATTAGAGCTATAAAGCTCATTCACATTAAAAAATATGAGAATTTTTAATTCCTCTCACAAAAGTACAATAAACTATTTTCTATTGCTCTGATCTTCAACCTCAACCCATCAATATTACTTCTAATAACCGTGAAAGTAAACGAAATAAAAGCATCAAAAATCTTCCAAAGAAAATCCATAAAACTAAATTCTTAAGAACTAGTAAAAAGTCTTCAGTAGTAGCAACATCATCTAATTTTCAACAATTTCTAAACAGCATAGAAATGCTGAACTACCAATTAATTCATTTCTTACTTTGAGAATTCTCAGAAAAAGTGCATATTTAAAATGAAATAAATACCCGGAAAAGTAGAACAGAAGACGAACCTTGAAATAATGAAAACTTAAAGCATGGAAATAAATTATGAAACACAACAATTGAGTCAGCAATTTCTTCTTGTTCCATAATTCTTTTAATTTCTAGCACAGTAATGCACAAAAAGTATTTTTTAATTTTTCATGACCTCGTAGACACTTGAGAATATAAACATTATTTTTTTTTGTACTTTATGCTGATTTATCATTAAGTTCTAGGTTTAAGCTTTTTATGCTTGTTCTAGATTGGAGTGAGAGAGGAAAGTTTTGGGAAAGTTTTTGAAATTTAATATGGAATTAAAATATTAAATTGAATTTTAAATTCATTTGAAAAGTAAAATTTAACTTTTTAAATTTCATTATTTAACTTTTTTCACTTTTAATTTTTTTAAATTTTTAAAATTTTTCTCATTTTGAATTTTTTTAATTTTAGAATTTTCAAAATTTTCTAAGATTTGAATATTTAAAAAATACAAATTTAAAGCTCCTCCCCGCCCAGCTCTTTCTCAATATTCACATAATTTTTCATCACAATCTTATCGTTGCCTTCCTTCCTTACAAACCATTAATATGTAACTCTCGCCTATGATCTTCCAAAAAGCCATAAAAAAATTACTTCTTACTTATTTCACCACAAACATTGCAATTGTTGGGAGGAAGGAAACAGCAAAAAGGCAGAAAAAATTTTTTGCTGCAATTTTCTCTTTTTTTTTTTATCTCATATTTTATGCCATTCATTGATGAACATCGTCTATAATCTATTCATAGTGCATGAAAGATGAAACAGTCATGGAACAAACAATGAATTGAACTTCAAAACAGAAGAGAAAAAAAAATTATGAAAGTTTTGTGATTTTTTTTTCGCAGTTTCACAATTTTTTTTGCCTTACGATACGCGAATTTAATGTGATGATGACGATATCTGTTGATGATGTTGGCAGACAGACCACAAAATATGGTCAGCAACAAGGAGAATAAAGAAGAATTTAATTAATAGTTGACGATGACGCCCTAGAGGCCGTAAATAAAAATATAAAAAAGAGAGTAAACTGCAATTCGAGACGTGTCGCTAGTCAATTTCCTTTCCAGGCATTCTCTCGAATAATAGCAACAACAACAAGAGGGGAAATGTCAGTGGCAATTCATAATAAACTGCAGACTGTCGGTGATATTAAGAGCAGGTTTTATTTTCATTTTCTATAAACAAACTCGTTCTGGTTGCGATGCCTTTTCTCACATTACAATCGACTTTAGCTTTTATTGATTTCCAATTTCTACTGACTCATTCGGGTTTTGGTTTTGTTTTTTTTTGGATTTTTTAAATTGGACTTGATTTACTGGATGCTATTGTTTTGAAAGATGACAAATGCACATGTGGTAAACGAGATGCGAACGGATGGTAAGGATTATGTGGTTATTTGTCATTTCATAGGATTTAAGAGATTAGGCTGAATTTTTAAGGAATAAGGTGTGCTAAAGTTAAGTTTTAACTAAAGAGCGTGGATTAAGCTGAAGTCAGTTGACTTAGGTCGACCACTGTCAGTTAAGGGCAACTCAGTTCGACGAAGTAAGACCAAGAATGTCTAAGTTCGACTAAGGTCGTATAAAGTTGAGTAAGTTCTGATAAGTTCGACCAAGGTCGATTAAAGTTTGACTAAGATCGACTAAGTTCCGATAAGTTCGACTAAGTTCTGCTAATTTCGATTAAGGCCAAATAAAGTCAACTAAATTCGACTAAGGTCGAATAAAGTCGACTAAGGTCGACTTAGATTGACTAAGTTCCCCTAAGTTCGACTAAGGTCGAATAAAGTCGACTAAGGTCGACTAAGATTGACTAAATTCCTTTAAGTTCGACTAAGGTCGAATAAAGTCGACTAAGGTCGACTAAGATTGACTAAATTCCTTTAAGTTCGACTAAGGTCGAATAAAGTCGACTAAGGTCGACTAAGATTGACTAAATTCCTTTAAGTTCGACTAAGGTCGAATAAAGTCGACTAAGGTCGACTAAGATTGACTAAGTTACCCTAAGTTTGACTAAGGTCGAATAAAGTCGACTAAGGTCGACTAAGATTGACTGAATTCCTTTAAGTTCGACTAAGGTCGAATAAAGTCGACTAAGGTCGACTAAGATTGACTAAGTTACCCTAAGTTCGACTAAGGTCGAATAAAGTCGACTAAGGTCGACTAAGATTGACTAAGTTCGAATAAGATCGACTAAGTTCGACTAAGGTCGATTAAGTTTGACTAAATTCGACTATGGTTCGTTAAATTGGACTAAGGTCAGCACCAGTCGACTTTATTTAGATTAATTCATTTCAAATCATATCATTTATGTGATATTTAAAATAGCTGAACTTAATAATTTAGTAAGAGATGATTTAAACCTACGAAAAGATGGTTGAAATTCTATCCTATGAAAGCTATTACTACAAACTCATGAATTGAAGCGTTAAAATGCACAAATCAAAATAATAACATCACCTTGCATCAGAATGACTCTCTTATCAAAAACCACAGATCAGACTTAAATCTAACCACATCAACTCCATCCAAAACATTTTTACACATCATCTCAACATAATAAATTAATTTCCTTACAACAAAAAAAAAGATATAAAATTACTTAACACTTTAAACATCATAAAAACACTAAGCACAAAAGGCTTCATGCACATGAGAGCATATAAAAAAAATTATAATCTCAATCATCATTTAAGAAACATCTTGGCGCCATAAATGATGTTCTATAATAAGCACCATTATCATTACCTTTATGGATGTAAAGAGAATGAAATGGCTTTTGTGAAGAGATTTAAGAACATTGTTTGTGATAAATATTTTGGGAGGTTTAATGAGTTATTAATTAAGCTTCATCTAAAAAACTTGAAAGTGAAAATTAAGAATTTGCAGCCAAAACTATTTGAATAGAAACTTCATTACCGGTAACCTTGAAAATCTTTTAATTTTCACATAGAGAAATTTCATGTTTTTAGAAATCTTTCATTTCCTAAAGTTATTAATGACTTAATGGTTAAGAATTTGAAGATAATTGCGGGGTTAATTGCATGTAATTTTTTTTGAGAATTTTCTGTGTGCCTTTACTTCTTACATGCTCATTATTTTCTGTCTGTTTTGGTTATTTTTATTGTTTTGTGGAATTTCTCGTTAGATTTGGAAGAAGACAGATGGCTGTTTATGGTTACTTTTTGTTACTTTGGCATGTTTTTGGAAATCGGTGTTAAACAATACTTTCCATTTTTTAGCATGAAAGTGAGAATTGGCGAAAGTTCTTATTAGCTTAGTGACTTGAAGTCTATCGAATAGTGTGAATTGAGTCTCAATGATCATGATTAGTCTTAATGAGTCTCAATATAGAGCAGTGTTGTCCAAAGTATTTTGAGTCATGGCACACCTTAGGGGTAAGTAATGACCAAAGTCAATCCACATCAGTGTGCCGCGGCACATAGTTTGGAAAACACTGATAACGAGTTTTGTTGATTAAGCATTCTTGGTGCTGTGCTGGATTGATGCTAGCCACAAAAAAGTATATTACTTATTATATCAAGGCAAGGGATGACCCCAAAATCAGATTTCTATTAAATTCATGTTTTTTCATGTTAGCTTCTTCATTCTGAGTCTGTCAACTGAACTAGAACGCAGAAATTAATTCAAAAAGACAGATTATCCCGCCAAAAACCTGTCTACTTGAAATCCCTGCACATGATATGAAGCAACCCACGCACACAAGCATATATAAATTAATTGACACTTTCCCATAAATCAGCACTCATACCTTCGAGTTAATTAGTCGCACTTTTAGCAACGCAAATTATAAATGGTTTATTAACTTACATTTTGACTGTCCATTGTGGGTTAATTAATCCATAAAATGATTTTTTTTTGCGATCTTATATAACTTTTTTGTTTCACTTTCTTTGACTTATTTCACTATTTTGATTTGAATCTTTAATTTATTTTTTTTTTGTTTGATTTATTAACTCTTGAGACTCTTTTTTGATGTAGGCTTTTGCTTTCGATGTTTGCTTTGTCAAGTTGTTTGGAAACTGGTTTGATTGGGCAGAAATTTTTCAAAAATAAACTTGAATTTTTGTACTTTTGAAATTTTTTTAAAGTTTCAAAATTTTTAAAATTCACAAAATTTCACTTAAAATCAGCACAAATACTTATTCACTTCTTTTCTCATTAATTTTTTGAAATTAATTTTTTTCTCACTCAATTTTCTCCACTTCTTCGTGACTTTAAATAATTTATTCTTCTTCTGTGTTTCTGGCACGCTCAAATTTGTTTTTGTGTGAAAATAAATATTTTTATGATTCAATTTTCTTTTGACATGATTTAATTTTCAACTTCTTATTGAATAAATTGTCATGAAGAATTGTTATTTAATTGATTTTTGTTCTGTTCACGATTTTGAGCTGTTTGATGGATTCTTGCGAAGTTTTTTTGTTGATGTTTTTTCAGGTTTTGTGTCAATAAAGTGACGTTGTTGGGCAACGTGCTTGTGTTTTTGTTTTTATTTTTAATTTTGGGATATTATGAAATTATTATTTTTGGGGGTTTCGGTTGGTTTTTGATGAATTTTTTTATCACTTTTTGATTCTTTTTTACAATTTTTAAATCAATAAAGTTCAATTTTTATTTTTTTTTCTTCAAATAAACTTCCGTACACAACAAAATTCCCACTAATATTCTCATAAATCTTACTAAATTCTCACAAAAGAACACTCAGTAATTCCCACAATAATTAATATGTCACTTAATTCAATCAACGACTAATTCCTCGTATTATTTTTCTATCTCATTTAAATTCAATTATCAAATACACACTGTTAATTCCTCACATAACTTTTTTATTTTTATTATTTTCCTGTATTTTGTTGCTTCTTCTTATTCTTATTTAATCAGATTCACTTTTTACTTGTGTTTTATTTTTTTATTTTCAAATCCAATTATTTCGAGGAATTTTCGTTTGTTTTCAAAGAACTTTGTTGTGATTTTTGTTCTTGTTCAACACAAAATTCTTGGAATTTTTCAATGCACTTTTTGATGAGAATTTTTATAAAATTGATTTTAATTTTTTTTGAAAGAATTTCTTAATTTTTGTCGATTTTTCGATTCAACTTTTTTACAATTTTATTATGTTCCTTAATTTCTTTGAATTTAAAAATTTTAGATTTCTTAATTTTTTCAAAATTTTTGAATTTTTATTTTTTCTATTAAAATTCAATTTTTAACATTTAACCACTTCTTTACCATCAATTCTTGATAAATTATTCAATATTCTTGTTAATCTAATCTTTCTCCTTATTTGTACACAAAACTGTTGATTCCGTTTAAACAAAATTCTTATTTGATTCTGTTTTATTTATTTTTTAAGGAGAATTTCTACAATAAAAACTTTTTATGACGATTACTTCCTCAGTTGTTGATTATTATTGAGATTTTTGAGTTTTGATAAAAATCTGGCTGTGATTTCTGTTGACATTAATGGTCTGGGAGTCGAATTACGAATTTTGGTTTTTGTTAAGATTCAATTTTGTAGTTGAGTTTTTCACTTTCGACAATTTTGCACTAAATTGAATATTTTTTTATTTTTTGTAGTTTAAACTTTTTTTGCAGTTTGCTGATTTTCACTTGATAATTTTATTGTTTTGTTTTTATGAATTCAAAATTTAATTTTTGTTTTATTTTATTTTTTACTCTTAAATCTTTTCAATTTTTATTTTGAACTTTTTCATTTTTGTTTTAAAATTTTCAATTTTTAATATTTCTTTTCAATTTTTGCTACAATTTTTGATTTATTTTCAGGATTTTTCAGCTTTTTACTGAATTTTGTCCACAAACTCAACTGTTTTATCCAAATTTTTAAGTCATTTGCTTGATATCCAAAATTAGAACTTTTTATTACTTTTCAAATTAAAATTTTTGCAGTAATAAAAAAATATCACGAACTTCCAACTTATAAGCACAACGTAATTTGATATTTTTTCATAACCGCTAATATCCATTATTTCTTAACGTGTCAGTTCTTTTGTAAAATTTAAAATCTGTTCAAAAACAGAACACATAAACACAATATTTTTTAATCCTTTCAAATTATCCGCTTATAATGGACTAAAATCCCATTAATTTACCAACCACAAATTTTTTTAGACTTAATCCTTCCTTGTCTATTCTTATGGCTAATTAAATGTCATCACCAATTATTGAAGTTTTCATATTTTGTTATTTCAGCACATAAAAGTTGCTGATTTTATTCCAACGATTGCAATTTAATCCAATTTATTTATTTATTATTATTTCCAACTCAGTCCACATTTATCGATCAAAATTCACGTTCTATTCTTCTTATTCTTCAACATAAAAAAAATTTAAAAGTCCCATGCTCAACAAGTCTCTAAACAAAATCTGAGCCACAAGCACTAAAAAACAGAAACGTGCTCACCGCGCAACACACGAAACTCAACTAAACACCTATTGACACTGTTCCAAGACGTGTTTCAGTTTCCAGCTTGTTTCAATTTCAATTCTGTTGCATATTTTGCAGACTGTTGTGCTCTCTACGTTAAAAAATGAGTTTTACGTACGTAATCAGGTATGAATGAGAAAACAAAAACAGAATATAAAAATAAAAGATAAAGTCAAACATGCTGCTTGCTGCTTGTCCAGACACAAATGAGAGAAATTTTTTTTCGTGTGTAAATTGCCGAATACAGCCAAAACCTGTTTTTTTTTTTTTTTGGCTAATGTTTACTCACCGCAATAACAGAGAGGCCCCGAGATCATCAGAATACAGAACGCGAAGAGGCACATAATGAAGGTTTTGAGGTAAAAGAGTCATCATTTATTTATTTTGATTCTCTTTCTTTCTTCTACTTTTCTGTGCCTTTTCTTCTTTATTTTTGTTAAATAAATGAACAGACATTTTTCGATGGACGGGTGAATTGATGGGCTTTCGTTGATGAGACTTTCGGTCTTTTATGATTCACATTTATCATCATAATGTCATACATACATATTTATAAGCAATGGGAAGAAAAATTTCACTTTATTAATACGTTTTTTTAATTTTTTTGTTTTGAAATTTTTGGATGACTGAAATAATTTTTTTTTGTTGCTGATAATCGATGTTCAGCAGATTTTGATCTACAAAAATGTCAACTGGATATTTTTAATTTTCTGGGGAGAAATTAATCATTATTTCTTTTGCTTGTAGCTTCTTACGGACATTAGGATCTATGTAGGGTAACCATCTAATTTTCATGAAAATACAGGACTTTTGGTAAAAAATTTCGAAAAATACAGGACATAGAGTAAAATTCGAAAATTAACGGAAATTTTCGTGAAAAAAATACAGGACCTGGAACAAAGTTTTCAAATTTATACAGGACAGGGTTTTGAAATACAGGACTGTCCGTTGTAAAACTACGCAGATGGTCACCCTAGATCTATGTATGGCCAGCAATTAGGTTTCGTAGATTTAGAGATAGATGCGTAGCCAGGGAGAGGAGGGATTAGGGTGAAAAATGTTTACGTCTACAGAAATCTCCTAGGCTCGGAAACTAGGCGGTATACCACAAAATACTAAAAAGATAGAAATTTCTTCATTTTGCTAGAGTTTTTATAAAAATGTCCCCCTCAACCCCCCTTTAAATTTTTCATGCAAAAAATTTTATGACCCCCCCCCCCCCCCCCTTCAAATTCCTGGCATCGCCCCTGTTTAGATAATACAAAAGTATCGTGACACATAAGTTGAACAACACTGGTCCTAGCAACAGAGTCTGATATGGAAGGACTAATTGCAATAATCTTAAAGACCAGTTTGCATAATATCCCCTTGAATTGAGCTACCTCTGGTGCCGGAAATTCAACCACCACATATGCTCCAATAAATACTCCAATTCCACAAAATTTAAGTCCAAATAATCTTTTTACGAGCGAATTTGATTAAAATTTCATTTGATTTATGACCAAAAATTAGCATTGCCATCAAATCATCACTAGATAGAAACCATAAATTATCTGATTCCATCGATAACACGACACAATACCATAAATAGCCCACAATGTTCATCATCTTGATCTCAGTCTTGTCATGAGAGTGATAATAAAATAAAGGCAGGAAGAAGTTGCTGATTGAAGCGCATTTATGCTATAAAACTAAATCTAGTCGGTCAGAAAAACTGAAACATTGCAAAATTAATCACATTCAATATACAGAGCATAGCCGACAATAACAATCAAGTTCACACAATTCACGTACCACGCATGATCATAAAATTAAGACGGAAAAGTTTTTTGCTTATCTTTATTGATTCGTTCGATTTTGATGAGCCATTGACAGTTCTTCATGCGTAAATAAATCCAAAATATTTCACTTGAGACACAAAAACTTGACAAATAAGCGTAGACGTGATAAGGTGTAGTGTAAAGCCTTCAAATAAGCTCTTTTTCGGTATCAAAAGAAAATGCATAAAAGTTTGTTATTTTAAGCTTGATCATCAATGTCATAAAAAGTGGTAATAATAGATTTAAATCCCTTCTCATCATCGACATCACATTATTGGACATAAAACGTTTTAAAATCAAAATGACATTTCAGTGTAACTATTATGAGAATAATGCGATTTTATGACTCGCTTAAGTTTTGGAAATATTTGATGGAGATAAAAACAAATTTTCATATGAATTAAATGAACTTTTATGGCGGGATTTGTTTGTTTTTCTGATGATGGACTTGGAGGTTAGACTTGGAATATTTTTGAGGATTTGTAACTTGTTATGTTTTATTGTCTCTTTAATTTTATTGAGCCATATAGTTTTAAGACGATATTTGATTTTTTCAGGAAGTTATAATTACAATTTGGGGTTAAGGGGGTTTCAAACCTCTTTGGGTCGGTTTCTAAGGGTACAAGGACTACTTAAGGCAAGGGTTTTGGTAGTAATGAAGCTTTAAGTACAAAAAAACCTCCGGGTAGATCTCAAAATTGGCATTGACTTTATTTGTGTAAAATTTTGTACCAAGTCGACAATTTTAACAATCCGTTTCAGTAAAAGCCCTCGTTCATGAATTTAAGGCTCTTGTATCTTTCTCATTCTGTCTACATAATTCTTGACCCGTTCCTACATCTCACCTCGCCTAATTCTTAGTTTTACGTCTTAAACTGCTGTACCTAAGAAGTCGAAGTATCTAAACTTTTGAAAAATCACTAGGCTGGTGATGGGATTTGAACCCAAGAATCCAAATTCAACACCAACTTTTGTGACCTGTACCTTGCCAACTAAGCTATCAAGGTACTTTTGCTTCTTAATGTTTATGGTTCGTTTGACGTCAATTTCACTTATTTAAGATATTGCAGACGAAATCAACCACAAGAGATCAACAAACTTAAACCTTAGCGCTTATAAACTGTGATTTATAGCTCAAAACAATGCAAAAACTTTAAGCCTCCATCATATCATACAGAACTCCTCTTATGTAACTTTTATAAAATGCAATCCTAATAACATCTTCTATGCAGACACTCAAATTTCACATAAAATAATATCGTTGATGACTTTTTTTCAAATGGAATTTTTACGGTGTGTTTCTGTGG